ATAAAAACTTCAAAAATTAAAATCCTTCGAGATGTAGTTATGTTACTACATCTACTAGTTAGGAAAATTTAAAAACTTAAATTTGGACATGTTTTGCAAAAAGTGTAGGGAAAATGTAAAACGGCTATAACTTTTGCATACTACGGCCTGTTTGCAAATTTTTAGAATCCTCAAATTCTAAAAGGAAAAAAAGTTATGCTCAAATTTCAGTTTTTTTTAAATTTTTGTTAAATCTGGTCAAACTATGGTCAAACTACTTATTCAAGAAGTATTAGTGTTACTAAATAATTATTCAAGAATATTAGTGTTATTAGATAATTATTTCAGTTTTTTTGAATTTTGGTCAAATCTGGTCAAACTATGGTCAAACAATGGTCAAACTACTTATTCAAAAAATATTAGTGTTACTAAAAAATTATTTCAGTGTTTTTGAATTTTGGTCAAATCTGGTCCAACTGTGGTCAAACTATGGTCAAACTATGGTCAAACTACTTATTCAAGAAATATTAGTGTTACTAAATAATTATTGTTTTTTAGAACAATAATTTCAAACTCAAACAGTGAGATGTGTGACTTCATGCTCAAGCTAAATTCCTGAGGGTTAATAGGATTGACATCTTACTATTGTCAGAAAAACAACAAGTGCAAACTTGGAAACGAGGGAGAATAGAACTCGGAAGTTAAGCGTGCTCAGGCTGGAGTAGTGAGATGGGTGACCGTCCGGGAAGTTAGATGATTTGGAATGATGAGGGGTGATTAGAGATTAGAGGTTAAATTGAGCAGTGATGAAGGTGATTAGAGATTAGAGGTTAAAATAATTCAGAAATTTGAAAATAAAATAAATTTCAAAAAGAATTTAAAAAAGAAAAATTTCAAAAAAAAATCATAAAATTTCCTTTAGTTCCGGTTGGTACTAAAGGTGGACCTCCAGGCAGCGGCCACGTGGACGGCCTTTAGTCCCGGTTCATGTAAGAACCGGGACTAAAGGGGGAGGCTTTAGTAACGATCCTTTAGTCCCGGTTCCAGAACCGGGACTAAAGGCCCTTATGAACTGGGACAAATACCCCTTTTTCTACTAGTGAACAATGACGAACTTGTATCATCTTCTTGTTGAATGCGTTGTCTACTTGTTGTGCTGGTGTTCACTGGTTGGTATCGACAACTAGGATGCAAAATCCTTGTCTAGGCCATATCCGAACATGGATATGGTGAGGCAAGGGCATTTATTCCTTCTTGGAGTTGTTGTTGTGGAAGAAATCAGACTTAATAGTTGGCGTCGTATCTTGTTGTCTACATGTTCTGCTAGTGTTCACTGGTTGGTATCGATAACTAGGATGAAAATCCTTGTCTAGGTCATATCCAAACGTGGATACGGTGAGGCGACGACATTTATTCCTTCTTGGAGTTGTTGTTGCGGAAGAAATTAGACTTAATCGTTGGCGCCGTATCTTGTTGTCTACTTGTTGTGCTGGTGTTCATTGGTTGTTAGGATGAAAACCCTTGTCTAGGTCATATCGGAACGTGGATACGGTGAGGCAAGGGCATTTATTCCTTCTTGGAGTTGTTGCAGAAGAAATCAGACTTAACCGCTGGCATCGTATCTTGTAGTGGTTCGAATGTGATTGAATATGTTATATATTTACTCTGCTTGTTGATGTTTTTGGCCTCGTTGCCTTACATCAACTATAATAAAATATGGATGTGTGCCTGACAATAATGTAGAGGCCTGGAGTTCCAACCCCGTTTTTAAATAAAACAAAATTCATTATTAGCAACATGGATGTAAATTATGTTTATACTCCTATTTTTTGTAAGTAAATTGTATTGGGGCCTGATCAAACTTAAGAAAGTTTAACTTGCATGCCATCCAAAAAAGACTTACATTTAGGGATGTATTTAGTTTACATTCGTGGATTACATAGCAACCCTAGGTGTAAGAACAAGCATGTAAAAATTTGGAGAAGTGTAAGTCAGACACGAATGTGACAGATTGGAAGACCATTAAATGATAGCCAACTAATTGTATGTATTTACAAGAAGAACTGAACCAGATATTATAGATATAGAACAAACATGTTAGAACTTATAACACATGAGCGCAGGTGCAACTAACAAATTTTGTAGGAGGAAATATCACACGTAGTGCTTCACTACTGGGCATCATTTTCCTCTGGCTGTCCCGGCCATTGCTAGGAATAGAATCGTAGTGATTACAATGCAGAAATGTGTGCACAAGGAAGCCAGGTCAGCAGAGGAAGCAACAAGATCCGATAAAGCACGATGGGCCAGACGGTTCCTTATCTGGGTCTGTGACAGGAGCCTCCATGAGAGACCAAACACAATAGCCGATGCCGCAAATAGTAGGAAACAACTGGTCAACATGCTGGGCGAAGTGTTGCGGATGGCTGTTATCGACACAGCCAAGAATCCAGTGAAGGTGACTCTTGTCAGTTCCAACGAAGCCGTTGTGGACGCTTGGACAGCGCCGGGTGCTTGGTCGGCGAGAAGGGATCTCCGATCGACGGCCATTTGATACGCAAGTTCGACGATTATCAATGCTGGAGGTGCGAAGAGCATCAGGGCTGGAGGACCCATGAGCTTAAGCATGACAACCATCAACACCGTGAAGGTACCACCAGCCATGATGCTGTCGAGCATCAGAGTTAAACACACAATCTCTCCCTCTCCCCTTTTCTTGAAGTATAAAGGGGGGATCATCTCGAGGTACATCATGCACACACCAAGAGCGCAAACTATGAAGCTGATGGTGCCCACAAGCCCGACCTTCTGAACCATCTGATTCTCATGACCTTCTAGTGCCAAACCTTCAAGCCCCAGAAAGAGGATTCCAGTGACGCCCGTCAAGAACTCATGTGATTCATCCAGTACCTTGTGCAGATCCGGTGAATACGGGTCACCATTTCCGCCGAGGCAGTACGAGACCGCTCGAACTAGGATGAAGGCTCCACATAGGACGCCCACGGCGATTAAAACTTGTTTGGAGACAACGAGCTGCGCCATGAAGCAGGCGAGGATGAGGAGGCAAGAAGATGAGAGGGTTGCCAGGCTCGCCGTCACCGGGGCAGGCTCGATGTTACCCATGTTTGGGAACCTCTTGGTGAAGCAACACACGAGCAAGGGGCAGATAGCGGTTATTAAAGTGATACCTGCCATGGCAAGCATGGCGAAGAAAGCAGGGCGCCCATACACTTTGAGGTCGACCTTGTCAAGAGACAATGCTAGAAGCACAGGGCATACCATGACCACAGCTCCTTCGGCCAAGCTACGGGAACGGTTCATCAGTTCAGCGGCCTAAATAAAATAAATAAATCAGAACATTGAATGGAAAGTCGCCATCTAGATTCTTTTTTGAAGAATGATCAATGATTGTGCAATTATGTATGCGTAGAGACTTATAAACATCCAAGGGACAAATTAGCATTCAACTTTATCCTATTGAGAAAGAAGATTTAACTTTATTCAAAAAAGATTGGAATTTCAAAACTGGAGACTTAATTAAGTTTCATTCATCAGAGAAATTAACATGTAACTTTATCATATTGTAAAAAGACCATTTAACTTCTGCAAAAAAGCTTGGAATTTCAAAACTGGAGACTTTATTAAGTTTCACTCAACCGGAATAGTGGGGAAGGAAAAAGTGTATGCCGCCTGTTCAACGGATATATATAGAGAGAGCTAGGCTGCTTACCATCTGAACGAAAACCGAGAATCTACCAGAGATAACTTGGTGAAGTTTGGGTTCGCAAGCAGCTTGCTTAAGTTCCTGTAGTAGCAGATCACGTTTCATTTTGTCAAACTCCATTATAATTGATCATCGTTTTTATGGACAAAAGGCGAAAATCATAAAATAAATAATAAAAGGACGAACGAGAAGAGGAGGCCAAGATAAACGTACGAAGCTCTTAACCTTTGCTTGACGATGGTGAACGGAGCTTATCTGGCCCTTGTCTTCGCTGAAGGCGGAATGGAGCTATATATGAACCTGCCCGCCGGTAGCAGGCTTGAACACAGGTGCATTCTTAAGCGAAATACCAAAGCAAATCACGCGGAAACAACACTGCCAGTTAGGAGATGCAAAGCTTCGAATGGGGTCAATATAATGATTAGCAACAAAGTTGACATGCATGTAGAGCGCACTGAGATACCCTACCTAGGAATCGGTAGAGAAGAGCCATCAAAACCAGATTTGTCATTTTATTTTTGCTTAGCCAGGATTCTAATCTTATCCGGGCATAATAATACGGTATCACTTAATGATAAGCAACATATCGGCCAGCAAGGAAGCGTTCGTTGGCGACTTCATTAATCCCATATGCTCCACGACTCTAGTACTCCAATAAACCCTTTGTGTGTTGCACGCGTGTGAATAAACTACATGAGAGACTTGTTCGTCTACAAGAGATGGAGACAACATGCATACAATCTTTTTTAGGACTTACTGCGAAATATTTATTAAAATTTAGGCCTCCGGTGAACAGTCATGTACTGCCAAGATTAACTTGGGACATCTTGCCTGAACGTTCATTTTATTTTTATTTTTTTGCGAAAAGAACGTTCATTTTATTTAAAACATAATATGCCATTTTGTAAAGCTAGTGTCGATGTACCAAGAGCAAATTATAGTGTATTACTTTTCTCTTATGAATGTGATAATCATCAAGATTTTCCAGTGATAGTATCAACTTTGCTACAAAAATACACCATTCCCATTTATTTTTCGGACGACGAACACTGGGACGCCACATCATTATACTAAGTACTCATCCATTGATTTAGGTCTGCTGGCTGGGTTATCATGAAGTTGGACCAGTTAGTCAGATGCCACATTGGTAAGAGGAAGCCAACGAACTTAGTGCTCGATGACAGCAGCGATAGACAACTAGAGGAGGAGGTCGAGGGTAAGAATGCTGAAAGAAAATTTTAGGTATGCTCGTCTCTTTTGGTTTGAAAAATGCAGTCAAATCTATTAGGAAATGATAAATTCAGAAGGTTTGGATTTAAGCATGGCAACCAGGACGTTTTTCATGGCAACCCGGACGTTTTTCGGCCGCGGCTTAAAATCCAAACGTTCGGGGTTTATTGGGGGTCTAATCTATTAACCAAACTAGTAGTACAAATACCACTTAAAAATACATAAATTATTACAGGGTCCCTGGCAGAAGACCATTGTGTTCCTCTCGCAAGGCTGCATTCCAACCCATAACCGGAGCCATGATACCACTATTGACGGCATGCATGATGTCGTCAAGGCCATAGTCCTTTTGGACCATGGCATTGGAGGAAAAGCCGCGGCCACTTGAAGAGTCGCATATCCAAGACTCAAACCTACAAAACTTCTCAGAGGCTCTCGCTGGCACCGAAGGATATACCGATGTGATAGAGACAACACTAGAGCACCAGAATACAAAGGGATGCTACTACCTTTGCCTCGCCAACCAACCTTGTAGAATCATACCTCACCAGCCAGGGCTACCACCACCATCGATGTGCCACCAGACTCGATGAAACATTATTCGCCACTGGAGCAGTAACCCCGACCTATCTAGCAGGAGTTGACATAGAGGGCTTCAGGATTCTTCAACACTCACACGACCAAGGAGGCAAGCATAGGAGAGGGGAACCCTCGGGCTCGACACCATGTTACATGGTGTGGAATGATACCTTGCCACTCGGAAGAAGGCATGTAACAGTCACACTTTCAATAAAATCTATCTGCCAAAGGATAATCCAGGAGAAACTACCACTGAGAAGGGCCATAGGATAATCCCAACTCCATCCATGCAGAGGAGCGGAACACAAATGGACAAATCTCACAAGTTCCCCTAAAAAGTTGTATTTGGCTAAGCTTCATTAAACGGAGATGGAACTGGAGAACAAAAACAAACCGCAAAACTATCCCCTTTGCAGGACTCCACCGTTTGTGGACAAACGCTTGAGGACCCTACAAGAATGGTCCTGTCACACATACCTGTGATTCCCTTGCCCTCTTATTGTCTTAGCAAGCGGTGGAGGGTAGGGGAAGCCGCAGCTGCACCGGATCGAGGGGAAAAGTTTTCCGCCTCTTGTCTTCTAAATCGTAGGAAAATGATTTTTCAGAGTCCCCAGCATGTTATGACTTGGGTACCTGCTCATCCCTTGGGCTCAAACCAAGCATGGAAATATCACCCACACATATTTCCAAGCGCGAGCATGGCCACCGACTTTTCTATAATTTAGCATTTACAAAATAAATTTTAATGTGCTTTGTTTGTCACATATCAAAATATCCAACGGATAAATTATATAAATGATTATAAGCATTTAGGACAACTCATATGATCTAGACATGAGAGAGAGAGAGAGAGAGAGAGAGAGAGAGAGACTACCATAGAACAAGTATTTTGGGGGTAGACCACTCACAACTCATCGAGAAGCGATTTGGCAGTGATGATAAAGATATGAGACAATTTTTTTCCTCTCGCGGAGTACCAAAGGAGCAATCTAGAAGAGTTCGGCCCTGATCAAAAATACCTCTATGTGGGGGCGGCAAAAAAAACCTCTCAAACTTGTAGGCAAATTGAATAGATGGGCATATACAATGTTTGCGATCGAAGGACATTGGTGGAGGTGGGTCCAACCCGCCCCAGCCTTAAGACACGTGGGACGGGCAATGTCCCCTATGGGGCCTAAAATCCCTCATTTTGCAGGCCTTTGTGATCCGAGGAAATATTGTCCTATGGATATTTCAAAGTTATTTCCCGCAGCACCTCAAAAAGGGAAATATGCCTTCTTGCATTTTATTAGTATGCTAGTCTATTTTTTTTTTAAAAACATACTCTCTCCGATCCAAAATATAGTGCTTCCTCTATTCCCGTGCTTCAACTTTGACCATAAATTTAACCAATGAGATCGACTGCGGCGGGAGCAAAAGTTATACCAATGAATTCATATTCAAAAGAAGTTTTTAATTATATAATTTTTTCTCCCATCGCAGTCAGTCTCATTGGTTAAATTTATGGTCAAAGTTTGACCTCGGGAAGCGCGAGCCCACTATATTTTGGAATGGAGGGAGTAGGAATTAAACATCAAAAGGAATTGGTACATTTTAGATGTATCCACTACACCCTCCCTGCACGTCGACTTCTACATGGTATGCTCCACACCACCTCCCTAGACGCAAGAACGGCACCGTCCGCGCACGGTCTTCGTTATGTTGTTGGGTTCTTCCTCATCGTGTTTAGTGTTGCCAAAGAACGCCTCATGCTTGAGCTCGAGTAAACAAATGCATTTTGCTCTATTGAGAGCAACCTGCAAGGGGGGACACGCGACCCAGAGTTACCTCAATTATGCACTGCACATGCATTCACGGTGGAATCACTTGTGCAAATGGTTGATAAGTATATTATAAATTTGTTTCAGGATTTTATTCACAAAAAAAAATTGTTTCAGGATTTCCGGCATGCGCGTTCAGTGTGAGGAGATGTTTCCTTTGACTACGAGGCGTCTATGCTGGCTCCGTCAATCTCAAGATGATATGTCGGCTCAGTCTCTAGCAGGTGCTCATAGGGGTGGGGTGTGTGCTCGTTCATAGAGTGTATGCACGTTTATATGGGCGCTTGCGTTTGTAATGTGTTAAAAAAATAAGTATATTAAATTGACACTATAGTACAGTATCTAGTTGTATTATATATATGGCTAAGTCAAATTACTCAGCCCCACCACGATCTATTATTAAATCCCGGTTGTACATATCGATATTGTAGATTAAGTACCGGCCGCCGATGGTTTGAGAAAGCAAATTGTTCAAGAAAAGAAAATGGGTACTGTATGTGTTAGTTGTTGGCACTTGCATGCAGTTGGCACCGTATACGAACTCCTCCTTGCTCCCTCCGTAATACATTTTTTGACACTACACGCTAGTATGTTGGAAGTTTAATATGAGCGCCACAGCTTCCTGCCGTTGGACCTCACCTCGGCCATGGCTAAAAATGGGTTTCATAACAACTTCGTTTATTCCCGGCCAACGAACAAGAGTTTGAACATCTCGACCCACCACCGTCCATGGGCAGCTGGCCTCGTGCCCAGCTTGTAATGCTTTCCGTCGGCAAGGAATTCTAGCCCACGTGACCGAGGTGGCTTGCACGCTATTTCCGCCGGTTTCCTTGTCTTTGGTACAAGATTTGGCAGACGGATGAGCTAGCAGCATAGGGGCCGAGGGCGGAAGCGTTGACGAGGGCCTTAGTTAATGGGGTGGTGACATGGACGGTTTGGGAAGAAACGGTGCGATTGGCTCTACATTCTGACTTTCAATATGGATTAGTCATTATTGGTTAACGTGCCAATCAGTTCTTGCCGCCTCTTATGTTCTGACCCCGAATATATTTTCTTAGGAAAGCATTTCTTGTGTTGGAACCAGTTCATCCGGATTCAAGTTCTACATTGATTTGGCATGAGTGCTTTATATTAATTTCCTGAACCCCCTTGACTACGAGGTGCTCGTCTGTGCGTTCCTATAGGTGGGTGTACGCGCATGTTGTGAGAGTAGTTTTTAAAAAGTTGATATTCTAACTCTGAATATATGTCAGTTATAGGTGAATGCTGATTATACTGCTTCATTAAGAGAGTGCATGTAGCAAGGGTCTTACTCCCTTCGTTTTCATTTACTCTACATATTAGTTTTATCTTATGTCAATCTTTATAAAGTTTAACTATGTTTATAGAAAGAAAACAATATAAAAATTTACAACAACACTCCAATAAAATATGAAACCTCGAAATCGTCCTCAGACCACTCTTGTTATAAATGGACCTAGCCAGCAAACTTGCTTCGTCTTCCAACCTCTCATAATCTGCACGCCAATTCATGATCGGTTCGACCGCGCGCCGTCCAGCCTCCCTCAGAAGAAAACCATCTATACAAGCGCAGGAGCCGGCCATCGGGGCTGAGATCAACGGATAGTCTAGGGGTGGAGTTTCTCAAGCCCCTACATCTATATAAGCAAGCATATCCATCGTTCTGTAGCGCGCAAGAGCATCGTCGATGTAATATATAGGTACGTGAGGTCTGGCTATGTACTCACTATGTTGTTTGTTCGTGAGCCCTCTTCCCTTGTACAGGGTGTGTGTTCTTACTTCTTACTCCTTCGTTCGTTTCATTCTAGCTAGCTGGCTATATATTACCTCTAGCCTTTTCTTCTCATTCATGCATATGCAGTTGTGACACAATTAAAGAAAACCCAAACCAGAGGTAGTCGACATGATGATGGTCATTGGCAAACATCAGGACGGGTCTCAAGCAAGAGATTCAAAATTTCAGGACGTTCATATGAGGTCGTCGGATGTTCATAGAAGGCTCTCAGTAAAATTGCTGTTGGTATATTCAGGTCACTGATGGCTCTCGTTGAGAGTCGCCTAAGATATATCACATGCTTTCATTGCGAGTTTCCTGTGGCTCATCAAAGACGGCCGGGGACCCACCAGTATAGATGTACTCATGACAAATGGGTTGCAGGTTCAATAGGTGATTTTAATTGGTTCAGGTGTTACTACAAAGCAATTTATGTAGAACCGTCTATGATCTAGAGCATTTTTTTTTTCAAGCTTGAAAAAGTTCTGAAAACTTTATACAGGTAAAAATATTTAGAAATTTGTTAAAAAATCATCACAAGTCATAAGTATTGTAACTAAACTATCAAGAAATCAAAATAAAAACTAAACTATCCACTTTGTTGTTTTTGCACGACACAAAATTGCTTGTTCTTTTATCATTTTGGATGAAAGTTTTATTAGGTAGCTTAGTATAAGACTGTTAAGAGGTTTACTAAGCATGAAAATATTAGTTATTATTTTCAGAAAATATTGAATTTTCATCTGTGATGCACTAGAGGTCTTATCTGTTATACGAAGGCTTTTTTATCTTAAATTTGGAATGATAGAAAATTTTGACAAAAGTGATTTTATTGGATCAAAATGGATCGTCAGGAGGATACAAAACACAATGAGCACATCTGGTCTTTGCATAGCTAGGATGCAGACCGCCAACACCAACACATACACAAGAACACGCTGTGTGGGGACTTTACGGTCCCCATGTAAGTAAGTCCAAAACTTAGTTTCATGAACTTCAGCTAAGTTTTGGATTTATTGAAATTTAAAAATCAAGATTCTCAATGTTTGAAATTTCTCTCCATTTCTTGCATGGGGACTAAACATGCACCCCGAGGCAGCAAATAGCAAAGTCATATATGACCAAATTAAAGCTATGCATATGCGAGTAAAAAAACCAAAGAAATCGGATCCACAATGACCAAACTACAACAATGACTACTCACATGCATGGATCATGTAGGAATCTTTTGCTCGATCGACGATGTGATTAATGCAGGGCTATCAATGATGAGTTTGCTACCATTGCATTGCAGTGCCAGGTTAGATCGACTACATAGCCGCACCAAGTTGGCCCATCCATTGGCCAGCGGGCTGCGAAAACCTCTTCACACAAAGTCGATAATAATCAACCAATGGGGCGCCAGCAGGCAGTCAAGTCACGCGATGTACACCCTCTAGTGCCACCAGGATTTATCGGTAAGTCTATTGCGACTTTCTTCGACGTCCAAATTGTTAACACTTGCGACATTTATGTATATATATCTATATGTAGGCATGTATTTTCATTTTTGTAGAAAAAGAAAAACAAGCTAGATAGAGAGGGCCACAGAGCCCTTGCTCAACCTACAACCCACAAGAGCTGGACTGGGAGGTTGCAACGACCACCAATATGTTAATCAACCATATGTAAAGTTTGATCAAATTACTAATACGTTTTTTTGTGTGTTGTTCTTCCTTGCTGTTATGCTTTCATTCATTGAGTTTGACCTATATATCAGTCTAATCCATATTATTTCCAAGATATTCTCCAAGCAAATATGGTGGTGTGGATAGTTGTCTCCGCGAGTCAAATTGTTTTCATCCGGAAGCGATGCATCCATCATTATTTCCTTCGGGTTCAGGACTTAATCGAGGATTTGCACAAAAAGTTGCAAACAAGTATTTTCCTCATAGTAGACATATCCAAGGCCTTCGACCCAGTGAACTGATGCTACCTACTCTATGTGTTGCAGACCCTAGGGTTTGGCCAGAAATTGCGAGGTTGGACCTCCATGTCGTTGTCCCTCCCACGTGCTCCTCAACAGAGAGGCAGCTCCCACCACCCAACCCACCCCACCCCGACCCCTCCAGCAGAGACCCACTGTATAATTCATACAAAAATATATTTCTAATCCAGCGAGAATTCACGTAAATATTCAGGGTGGCATGCCGTGAATTTTCTATATATGTACTGCATTATCGTAAATGGGGTGTTTTTATTAAAAACAGGCACAAGAATAATTTATTTGATACAGACAGATAATAGTAATTCTACAACTTAATTTGTATATACATTTATATTTTGATACATTTATATTTTGATATATATGATCTGATCATCTTATTTTTTTATTTCAGAAAATCTTGGGGTATCGGATGGAATATGCCTCATAGCACTGACGTGCATACTGGCCAGCTGTCTAGTCAATTTCCAAGTGTCTCAATTAAGCGATGATGGTTTTACCAACAAAGAATATAGTGAGTTGGTAACTGGCACAATGGAGGTTGCCATCTCCGTCCCATATATAGTTGTGAAATCGCACGAGTGCTTGTCCAATCTGCGGGTGCAGAAGTCATGGATCACATGCCGTCCTAATGTCCAGATTTTCAGAGACACATTCATTCTTGTGCTGATAGCTTACGTGATATTAGTGGACATCAGCTTGAGCTTCGCCTGGCTGGCCATCTTTCCTGCCATAGCCCTTGTTTTCATACGAGCGATGCACCTCAAGTTCAGTCGGCGTACAGGGGGCAGCAGTCGTAAAGTTAATCAAGGATCTTCTAACGTCGCTGAGACTAAAATGAAAACTATGGAGGTTGGGATCATTGTGATGATGACGCTGGGGGCGCTACTGCTTATGGACCAGCTTCCAGACCATGCAGCTGCCCAGTTCACCATCTCACAGTTCCTCCTGTTCCTAAGCTGCACGGTGGCGGCATTGACGCGCATGGTGATGAAGCTGCCCGCTGGCGCCTCACCGGGCATAGCACTGGCGACGGAGATGCTCCACAAGACCTTGCTTCTCCTCCTGCTGGCGACGGCGCACACCGCGGCCGCAGAGTGGCTGGGCGAGGATGTTGTTCTGCTATGCTTGCCGGAGGTCATCCCTGTGCTTCTCTGGTTCAGCCTCCATCTCGACCGTAAACCAGGAAGCAGCTCCATCATCAGCGTTGACAAGTTGAAACCACACAGAAATTGGTTCATCTTCCTCGGTGCAATGGTGGTAGCTCCTCCTTTTGCTTACCTGGCCAACTCCATGGATGAAGTTGGGCTCTCCGGCTGGTCTACGACATTCCAGGTGTCATGTGGCGTCTCAGGGATTCTGAGCTACTACCTTGTGTTCATGCTAAGTCACTGGCCGAAGAAACAAGTAGCAGCTGCTGGCAAGGATGGTGGGGCTTCCGGTATGCTCAAATTATGGGCATACGCTTTACTCATAGCGGCGGCTGCGTCCCTGCTGCTCAGGTGTCTGGTTTCTGCCCGGCTTGGTCTGCAACTACCACTGCATGCAACGGTTATATATGTTAGTAATGCTTTGGGTTTTAACTACTCAAATTAGTATAATGATCTTGTTGTGTACCATATCCAGTGTTGTGTTGTGTTTGTAAAATACACGCGGTGCTGTATGTGTGTGTACACTGTACATACATGCATACATAATTACATATACGGCGGCATGTATGTGTGTCAGTTTGCATGTTAATACTGGAGTCTTGGGTGCACACGCATCAATTAGCTAGTTAGTTACTCCCTCCGTTCCAAAATAGATGACTCAACTTTGTACTAACTTTAGTACAAAGTTGGGTCATCTATTTTGGAACGGAGGGAGTAGTTCTGAAGGAACAAGCAATTTAGCTAACTACTAGCTAGTGCATGTAGTCTGTACTGTACTAGTGTTGCATGTTTGCTTGCTAGCACCACCTAGTACTTGTACATGTTGCATGTGTGCGACTAGTATAGTTGGAAAGAGGGAGAGAAAGAGAGAGAGTTAGCTACCTGGATTGCTAAGCTAGTTATGTATGCATCTGTGTGATATTTTAAGACTGTATATACAATTAATCGGCAGTTTGTAATAAGTTATATCAAGAATAAAACACACTATCCTGGCCTCCTTTAATAGTTTTTTCTTTGCGAGTATGCCTCCTTTAATTGTTTATTTAAGCATTGACCGTAGAACAATTGTTCTACAGTATTTTCATGTATTAAAAGAAAATTACAGGTTCAACCAATTCCTTTCATTGGAAACATCAAAAACTGTGGGAACTAGAAGTGCTAAACTCGAAGATGGACCTCAATCCAACTATAGATAATTGGAATGTAACTTGTCTTACTCTATGGCTCATGATCCAGAGATCCTATTTCAACAAAAGCTTCCATTGAGAAGGTTGGGTCTGATATTAGAAAAATCAGATTGTTCCTCTGCATCCAAGTATTCCAGCAGTTCATAATTAAAATTTCAATAGCTATTTCTGGAGGCAAAGCAGTAGCAGCAAGTTGAACATCAGTGATAACAGGAGTACTTCGTATTCTGTTGGCTATAAATGGAATCCCAGCAGAGGAGGGCAAAGGTGCAATCCCAAAATAGATGCATAGTTTTCTCTTCATTGTGAGTGTTGCACAGAACACATGATTAGGAAGGGAGCTATCCGCTGAAGTAGATTTCTGGTGTTCAATATATTATGAAGCAAAATCCAAAAGAATCTTTTGTATCTCAGAATGGGTCTACTCTTCCATAACTTCCTAAAAACAACGTGTGCTGGAACTCCAGCTCTCAAGGTTCAACCAATTCCATTCTTTGGAAGCATAAAAAACTGCAGGAAATAGAAGTGCTAAACGAGAAGATGGACCTCAATCCAACATTCGATAATTCGAAAGTAACTTGTATTACTCTATGACTCATGATCTTGAGATCCTGTTTCAGAAAAAGCTTCCATGTGAGAATGTTGCGTATGCTATTATGAAAAAACAGATTGTTCCCCTGCATCCAAATATTCCAGTCGCCCATAACTAAAATGTCATAGCAATTTTTGGAGGTAATCAGTAGCAGCAAATTGAACGTCAGCAGTAACATAAGTACTTCTTCTTCTATTCGTGATAATGGAATCCTAGCATAGGAGGGCAAAGGTGCAATCCCAAACTAGATGCATAGTTGTTTCTTCATTGTGAGTGTTGCACAAAACAGAAGACTAAGAAGGAAACCAAAAGGATTTCCCTTGAAGCAGATTTCTTGTGTTCAATCTATCATGACGTAAAAGCGGGAAGAATATTTTGTATCTCAGAATGGGTGCACTCTTCCACAACTTCCTAATAACAACATGTGCCGGAACTCCAAGGTTGTATACATTTTAATCTATATCTATACCAATATAAAAAGACCCAAAGGGGCAGATCCAATTAATCTCGGTCATCAAATCATGTTAATCCAACGACCTAGACTGCTTCAATGTCGAGCGCTCAACACGTTTAGTGTGCAGTTAATTTCATGCCAAATATAGTGCTAATCACATAATAACACGCAAATAATATCCTACTTAATATCCGCATGCACTTAATATACTTCCAAATTAACGTGCATTGCACGTACACATTGACTAGTAGGACTAAAAGACTGAGAATTCCAAGAGTAACTCGTTTAGTGTCCCTCCGAAAGATGGTTGTGCTGCACAAGGTCTTGTAAGAGCTGAAATTGTTGATGAGCTTGAATTGAAAGGAGTATGTGAAAGAGATTTTTCAGACTAGGGGAGCTGAGAGCTTGCTAGACTATTTTCTCACTGATAGCAATGGAGTACAACTTGGGAAATTTATTTGTGAGTGCAGTATCGTCCCACTTGTCAACCAGAACAAAACGGTGTTATCCTTGCCCAACATGATTGGAAGCAATATATTTCAAAGCAGGCATTAACTTCAGGATGCTCTTCCACCAGAAAAGCCAACCACTCTGTCACTAGGTGGTCCAGTAGAGTAGTAAGTCTCCCAAATAAGATGAGCTCTAGCTGATTAAAGAACTTATGCAAAAGCTTAATCAAGAGGTTTATTCTAGTTAGCAATATCCAACACCACAAGACTACCAAGGTCTTTAGCTAGAAAAAATTTGTCCCAAGCACTCAAGGTACACCGTCTATGTTCCATGCCATACTTTAATTCTCTAGAAGCAATGCCTCAAGTATTTGTTGATCTACTCAACTTCAGTCTTGGGGAGCTCCAAGGAACACATGAAGAAGGTTGGAAGACTAATGACAATAATTTATCTAACTAAAGCTTCTCTCCATAGGGAAAACAAGTTTGAGTAGCCGGATAGCCTTTTCTCACTTCTTTGCATGCAACGGGCATAATCCTTGACTTAAGGTTTAGAAAGGTAGAGAGGATCGCTAAATATGTGGATGGCAAACTCCCCTGAACACAACCCAAAATAGAGGTGTGATGCTGCATGTTCCACTCTCGTACATTGATTGGGACTATCAAAGATTTTCTATAATTAAATCTTAGACCAATATAGGCAGCACAGTGTGTAAGCAAATTCTTAGAGTATTGGAGTTGAACTAGGCATGCAGGCAGGACAAGAATGGTGGCATCGGCATACCCGAGTGATTGGGAAATCAGGGGAAGCAACACTATCAGAAGGAGTTCTGACTAGTTCATTTTCCATAGCATCACTCAAATTTGTGGGTAGCACCAAAATGAGAGGAGAAACGGTATCTCATTTCCCTACACCCTTTTGCATCGGAATTTTTGCATGTGATACCATTTAGAAGAACTAAAGAAAACCCATAGGGGTAGATCCTGCTCTTAGACCTATCTTGTTATCGATCAATGTTCGACACTACATTGGACCTGGGCAAGAAAGGGTTGTTGCTTATGTTTTCCTTTTTCTATTTAAAAGGGGTTATTGGTTATGTGGTGAGAACTAGATGGTTGAGCATCTCTTGTTACCATGCCCCCATCGCATTTTTAATTTGATGGGGTAATCGAGATGGGAAGCTTTTATTTTAGCAATAAACCGTATTTCATATTATCTAATGACGAGTCCACCTCAATACATATAGCTCGGGTTAGGGCATCTCAAACACGGGCCCTCATTTCATCCCTATTTGTCCAGGGGACACTTTTTGTAATCCAACACTTTGCTGCATTTGTCTGCGAACATGTCCGGATTTACGAAGTCCCCCAATCCGACCTCAAATTGAGGGAAGTAGGGGAGTCAGACACCACCAACTCAGCATTGGATTTCTCTAACGCCTAGCCATGGACACACGGGTAGATGAGAAGGGAGGATGAATGGAAGTTTTTCAAGCTCGGGAGTGAAGGGTGCTTAAGTGCAGGAGCTCGAGAAGGAAGGCTATGGTCAGAAGGAATGGGAGAGTAAAGTTGGCCCCTCCTCACCCTTAGCCTTTTTATGGGCAGAGTTAAATGCCAAGTGATGGTAGGGTAATCTGTGTGGCAGTAATTTGTGCACTGTCCCATGTGACGTGCGATAATCATGCGTGGGAATCGAGGGGACAATTGATTAAATGATAGTATCGAGGCGCACGACCTCTTATGATAAGGCATGGTGATAGTGGGACCCCAACACACTCACGCATGTCGTGTTGACTGATGAGTCAGAGGTGCTCTGCGGCCATGTGGTTTGATAGATTAGATCGGTCTGTGATGTCAGAGATAGGCTAGGTTATCATCATGGGCCAAGCGCAAGAATACTTCATGAGGCAAGGCTGCACTGGAAAATTTTGGACATCCAGATCGGCGCAGACAGGACAAGGAATTCGCCGGAAAGTAAAAAGAACACGAAAACTCTTTGGGTATGCTTCGACAAACAAAATGTGGAACACATGGGGAATTTGTTGGACCACTTTTCAAGACTGATGACTCAAGACGAACAAGACCTCGGAAGGTCCAAGGAGCGCCAGCAACTTGAAGACCGGTTCAAAGGCTATTGATGGTGTCCCGGATTAGGGATCACTTACTACGTCGTCTCCCGACTAGGTGGGTCGGGCCAAGGACCCCACGTCGGCTCGCCGGCGAGCCACACCAAGGCGGCCCGTGGCGCGTAAAAGGAATGTGTTTGAAGGCTTGGTGCATACTCCAAGACTTAGATGTCGTCTACAACATAATTACCTTATACTTAGCCGACCTTACTATAACCCTAGATCTCCCGGGTACCTATATAAACCAGGAGTAGGGCTCATAGATGACATGATCGACCTCATGGTAGATCAATCTATACTTTGTACTCCATCCCAAATCAATACAACATAAGCGTGGCTTAGGGTTTTATGTCCACAGAGAGCTAGAGCCTAGGTAAAATCCCTTGTCTCTGTACCTCATATCTAGACTACTAGCTCGGGACCCCCTACCCGAGATCTTCCATAATTGATTATGGTAGGTCGACCGCCTCGTCTCTGTTGGAAATATGAGCAATTTACCAAATGATTTAATTAACAGAAATACTAGATAAAGCAGGACTAACATAGTAGAGATAAAACAAGTCATGCGTTCTGACAGAGAGAAGGTAAATAGCTTCTGCATATATGAACCGTAGCCTAGCATATCTGTAGCAGACAG